CATTTCAAGGAAAGCGGCGATGCGCAAATTATGTCCCTCGAGCTTCTTGCGGTCGCGCTTGGCCTTTCCGCATTTAGCGACGCGATCGCGGGCAGGCGCGCGCCGCTGGTCCGACAACGTCGGCGCCGAGGCCGCCGCGCGGAAAGGCGCCTCCAAAGAGTGGGACAATACGTGTCTCATCAAGTCGCCATGGCGGCAGGCGGCGCACTTGCGCGTCTCGCTCCGCGTCGACCGCGCCCCCCCGAAACTCCGCGCTGCTGATTTGCCGTCGCTGGGGCAGCTCTGGCTCCTTCGCGAGATCGGCGCTTCTTTCGTTCAGCCGCGTCTTAGCGAAGCATTCTGAAAGCCCGAGGCCTAGGCATCCCCATCGGCAGCGCGGGCGCCGCTGCGCCGCGCGTGAGCAGCTGCCGGCCGACAGTTCGGCTTGCGCACCAAATCGTCTTGCGTCGGCGAGCGCGTCTAATGGCAGCATTATTCGTTTCCGCATTGCGTCCGCGAAGGTCGCGCGTGGCGCAGTCGCTCCACGCGCGCTCGGCCAACAGAGGCTCGGCGGCGGAGGACCTGCTTGGCGCGCGCCGCCCGTCGGATCGGCAATGGCCGGGCGCGCCATTTCCGCGCGAGTCTTCCTGGAGAGAGCCGCCGGCCAAGGCAGGCACAAGGCTGCTTGGTTCAACGCAATCGCGGAGGCGCTCGCCGCCGAAAGCGCGTCGCGCCCGTGGGCGCTCCCCGGGGCCGACTTCAAAGATTTCCTGTTCCTGGGGGCGGACCTCGACGGCAGCCAACAGCGATGCATTCGGGAGGCAATTGCACTCGTCGACGCTCGAGCAGGTTCGGACACTTCGCGCCGTGCCCCGGCTGCATCGCGCCGCGCCCATGCGCGCGCGCATGTCCAGAGGCTCGCACCCGCGCGGGCGCAGGCCGCCGGGGGCGCGGCCGTCGACGCGCTCCTCGAAATAAGGGCTGCGGAGGCGCAGGGGGCCCGCGCGCCGCAGTGCGGCGGGGGCCCGCGCGCGGAGCTCCGCAATCTTCGCCGGCGGCTCGACAGCTGGGGGGGCCCAGCGAGCGTCGCCGAGCGGCTGTCTTCGGCGCGCGTAGCGGTCCTCCCGGGCGCACGCCCGCGCCCCATCGCCTCTTTCAAAAGCGGCGTGGCAGCGCGGTTCGCGTTCGCGCGCGAGGCTCTAGCGCTGCGGGCGCGAGCTGCCGCCCTCCGCCGACGGGTTGCTCGCTCGGGCGCTTTTATTTCGCTCCGACCAGACCTTTTCTAGCTATGACTCTCACGTCAAGCTGGCTTGTCAGGTTTGCGGTCTCCCTGTAGACGTATTTCTGGACACGCCGCTTCGCCTCGCCAAATGCGCGATCCGCAAGCGCGGCGCTCCCCTGCCCAGGGCACCTCTGTTCACGCGGGAAGACGCAGTTCGCGCGCTGCTGTATCCAGCAAAAGAGCGGCAGGAGTCCGCCGTCTTCGCGCAGCTCTTTCTTGTCACGCACGCATTTCTCTTGCGCCTCCCCACGGAGGCATTAGGCGTTTCCTGCGACGGCGTCGCCTTTCGAAAGGCGGCAGGTGCCTCCCTCATTCTGTGCGACGTCTTCCTGCAGCTCAAATTGGCGCGTCGCAAGAACAAGAAATTCGGATCCATGCTGCAGCGGGCGCGCCGGTGTGCGCGCTGCACCGTGACGCGTCCAGTCCACGCGCGCGGCGCACGGTTCGCGGACCTGCCCGTGGGCACCAGGCCGTCCACGGGCATTGGCGCGGCTAGCGCGGTGAGCGCGCTGCGCCTTTTGTTCGGCCAGCTCGGCGTCAAAGGCGCGGCGCTCTATTGCACTCATGACCTGAGGCGCGGTCGCGCATCGGACCTTCAGCAGAGGGGGGTGCACCTTGCGCGAGATCCTGCAAGCGGGAGAATGGCCCCCGCCCGCGTTCCTGTCGCACCTCGACACGACGCAATTGGAGCTCGGCGCCGTGGTCGAAGCGCACTTGGCCGAGTCTGAGGGCGATTTGGGCTGGGCACCGGCGACCCAGGCGTCGCGCGTTGTTTTCGTGCGCGTCTATCTCGTCTTGATGCGTTGCGTCCTCGCGGCGTCGCCGCGCGCGCTACCCGATTTCGCCAGGGGCGCGCGCGCCGCGCGCGTCGCCGCCGCGCGGCGCACCAGCGCGCATCGGCCAGGGGCGCTTGCATCCCTGGCGCCCCGCGCGGCGGCTCAAACTGACGCCGCCAGGCTGACCGGCGCGGGGGGGGCCGCACCCCTTGTCAAGTGGGCGCGGGCACCTCTGGGTGCGGGAGGCTGCTGGCGCAGCTGAAATTTGTGGTGGGCGCACAACGCCATCGAAAGCGCGCGCGCTCGCTTGCGCTGCGTCATGCGAGGGCGCAAATTTCGCGCCCGCGCCTGGCCCACGCGCGGGCGCGCGAGCAGTGCGCGCGGGCTGCCCCCCGCCTTCTTGCGCCTCGCGGCGCCCGCGCGCGCGGGGGGGGAGGGGCGACTGCACGCGCGCGGCTGCGCGCGGCCCCGCGAGGAAGGGCCATCGCGCGCGCGGGGCAGCGTTTATGCTTATGCTTGCATCGCGATGCGCGCCCCGTGCAGGCGCGCCGCGGGGATCGCGTCGGGGCGGATCGCGGCGCGCCTCGAGGACGTGCGGTTTGCAGGCATTGGTGCTTGCATCTTGCAGGCATCTGCGCTTGCGCCCCGCCGTCGCGGCCGGGGCGCGCGTTTTCGCCCCGCCCTCCCGCTCCAGGGGGCACTTGCGTCCCTGGCGCCCCGCGCGGCAGCTCAGACTGGCACCGCCAGGCTGGGCGGCGCGGGGGGGGGGCCGCGCCCCTTGTCAAGTGGGCGCGGGCACCTCTGGGTGCGGGAGGCTGCTGGCGCAGCTGAAATTCGTAGGGGGTTTTCGTTTTTTCGGCTTCCCGACGTTGCAAGACGGCCCATGGGGCCCCCAAGGTCGCCTCAAGACAGCCGCAGAGGCCCCCAGGACTTCCCCAAGACGGCTTAAGAGGGCCCCAAATGCGGCCCGAGAGGTTTCGAAGACGGCTCAAGAATGCCTCACGACAGCTCTAGGGGGGGGGGGCCCAGACGGAGGATGCGACCGGACTTTGCGGCCCCTCGGCCCCAAGTGGCCCCCAGAAGCCCCCGAGAGGCCCCCAACAGTTTTCAAGAGGCTCCCAAGAGGCCCCCAAGAGACCTCTGAGAGGCCCCCAACTCCCAAACACCGAAACGGGCCCCAAGACGCCTCGGAACTGCTTCAAGGAAGCCTCCGAGAGACCAGCGACGAGATCCGAACGAACTCTCCAGATGCTTCCATGGTGCCCCAGACCCCATCCAGGATAGCTTCAAGAGCGCTCAAGATGGTCCCAAGACGGCTCAAAAACGACCCGGGATGGCCTGAAGGGTCCCCGAGACGATTCCATGCCCACACTGCTCCCAATAGAGCAGTGTGAGGGGTGTGCCGGGATAGGCGGAGGGACGCCATGCGTATTCTGTCCCTGGCACTATTCGTGCAGCTCTGGGGGTGGGCACGCTCCATATGAAGGGCGCGCAGACCTTGGCGCGGGGACGCGATGTGGACCATGCATTTCTTTGGGGACGTCGGCCAACCTCGCGGGCACCCGGCCACAGTCGTATAACCCTTCCCCGGATGATTCCTGGGAAGGCTTAGTGTGGTTCAGAGACGGCCCAGGGTGGCGCCAACGCGAACCCTGAGGCTTCGAGACGGCCCAAGAGAGCCCCACAGCGGCTTAGGCTCGCCTGAACACGGTTCAGGGGGCTTCTTGGACAGCGCAGGCGAGCCTTGAGAGGACCACCAAGAGGGCCTCCGCAGGCACAGAGCATCACGTTTCACGTTGTTTTTGTAAGATTACCAGGCTCCCAGATTCACGGTTTCGGGGAGGGATGCTGAGGACGAGGACGGAAGGGGAGTGTAGGATGAGGAGGACCCGAGAGGAGGAATGAGGTGAAGGAGGTGAAGGAGCACAAAGAGGAACATATTGAAGAGAGCTGGGATGACAGGGAGGAGGAGAAGGAGGAGGAGGAGGAGCAGGACGAGGAGGAGGATGAGGTGAAGGAACAGGGATCCTCTTCATGGAGACGCCGTCGAGGAGTCGAGGAGAAGGAGGAGGAGGAGGAGTATATAATGATGGGGAGACATCGAACGGACAAGAAGAGGAGGGGGAGGGGTTGCAGTAAACCGGGGATAATGACAACGATGACGCCGATACTAACGATGACTATGCCGAACACGACGCCGCCGACGACGACGAACACGTTGATGATGCGGGTGATGATGATGAAAATGACGTAGCGATGATGGCGATGGTGATATCGATGTTGATGATGATGGCGGTGGTGATGATGATGGTTGTGATGGTGATGATGAGCATGACCATGACGATGACGATGAAGATGATTTGGATGAGGATATCGATGGTGACGATGATGGTGATGGCTCTAGGATATATATATATATACAAACATACATACACATACATATACCTATACCTATACCTATACCTATACATATACATATACACATACATATACAAAATCACATACATATGCATATGCATTTACATACACATGTTCATATGTGTATGCGTATGTGCATTAACAAATTCTTCAAACAACCCAAGGGGAATCAGCGATGTTGGCCTCATCAGGCCTTCCTGGAGGACCTATTGGAGGCCTCTTGGGCCGTCCTGGAGGCCTCCTGGGCCGTCGCGGGCCATCTTGAGGCCATCTTAGGCCGTCTTGGGTCCATCACGGGGTGTCTTGAAGACATCTGGGCGCCATCTTGGTCTCATTTTGGGTCATCTTGGCTGTCTTGGAGGCCATTTTGGCCCTCTTGGAGGCCCTCTTGGGGCAGTCTTGGGGTATCTTGGGCCGTCATGGGGCCACCTTGGAGGCTTATCGGGCGATCTTGGGGGCCTCTTGGGTCGTCTTGGGCCGTCGGAAGGCCGAAAACAAGCAAATGCCAAAATCCTTCAACAGCCTCCGCAGCTGTTCGGTTGAAACAGCCAGGAGCTCAGCAGAGGTTGCAGAGAGCGCGATGCACTCTCCGCGATTACTGGCCGTTCCATGGAGTGAACTATTGGGGTTCGCCTGCGCCGCGGCGGCCGCCTGGCCTGCTGACCGCACCGCCGTGCTTTCATCTTCGCCATCGGCTACGTGGCCCCAGCAGGGCGCTAGCGTAGACGCCAGAAGCCTCGAGGCAATCACAAGCGAATACGCGGACGCACAGTCCTTGGCGCGACAGTTGCCTCCTCTGGGCCGGCAGCTAACAGACGCTTCCACGACGACTGGATCTACGACAACCGAGACCACGACAAGCCCGACCAATTACGTTTTGTTGGCACTTGGCGAGACGTGTGCGTCCGAGGGATACGAGGAGATCTCAGATCCGGCGGAGTGCTTCAACGAGGCAGCTCCTAGCATCGAGGAGATCGCGGATGTTGACACTGAGGAGACAAGTGGCCCATTTTCTTGTGTGTTTCGATACGGTAAGCTTTGGTTCGGCGACGGAGTTACACAATCACAGACTTCCACCACGACTGCAAGTACGACATCCGAGACATCCAGCACGACAGTGTCTTCCACATCTGTTTCGACAACGTCTGGAAGCTCGTCGACCACTGGGAGTACGACATCCGAGACGTCTAGCGCGACAGTGTCATCCACGTCTGTTTCCACAACTTCTGGTACCTCGTCGACCACTGCGAGCACGACATCCGAGACCACTGCGAGTACGACACTGACTTCCATTTCGGGCAGCTCCACCACCACTGCGACGACTACGCCGCATTACGTATTGCTGGGATTTGGTGACACGTGCGCGTCGCAGGGGTATGAAGAGATCGGAGACTCGACTGAGTGCTTCGGGGATGCGAAGAGCAGAGTTGCGGAGCTCAGCAGCGTGACGTCGTTCGTGCTAGTAAGCAGCCCATTTGCATGCGTGTTCCAGTACGGGGTGCTCTTCTTCGGCGACGGAAGCGCAGGCATTGCTGACGTCAGTAAGCAATACGTCTGCAAAGGGCCCGACCAGTTATCAACGACTACGACCCGGACGACATGGAGCACGTCCATGACAACAACCACCCAAAGATACGACCCTTACAACGTCAGATACCCGGACCTTTGCCAGATGTGGTATTTTCATGTCGTCAACGACACTACGACAGCGGGTCGCCAGGAGGCTTGCTTTACTGCAGCCGACTCAATGGTAAGCGTCGCAGCTTGGGGACAGGGCTTCATCAGCCTGCTTCCCGGGACAACTCTCGGAGGCTGCATCTTCACCCTCGGCGGTGACATCATCAATTTTTACGACAGGGATGCCCAAAATGCCTACGAGATTTGGCTCGACACTTGCGATGGCCTGACCACATCAACGGAGTCGTCCACCACCACAGCGTCCGGTACATCCACAGAGTCGTCCACCACCGGGAGTTCAAGTAAGACCCTCTCTTCGACCACAGAGACCTCTTCCACGACAGTGACATCCATAACGGAGACCTCTACATCGACCAAGAGTATGACATCTCGGACTTCCATTACGACTGCGAGTACGACATCTGAGACCTCTTCAACGACATTGTCATCGGTAACTGCGACCTCGACGACGACATTGACTACGACATCCCAAACCTCCATTTCGACAGTGTCAACGACATCAGAGACCTCTACTACGACTGCGAGCACGGCATCCGAGACTTCTAGCACGACCACGTCCTCCAGAACTTCGGGCACCTTTTCCACGACATTGTCATCAACAACAGAGACCTCCGACACCATGACGAAGTCTTCTAGCACGACCCTCTCGTCCACGTCCGCAACGCCGACTTCGACTGCAAGCACGACATCTCAGACCTCCACCACGACTGCGAGCACGACGTCCAAGACCAGTACCACAACGATGTCTTCTAGCACGACCTTGTCTGCCAGCACGTCATCGGGGACTTCGAGCACTACCGTGTCTTCTGGCACGACACTGACCACTATCGAGTGGCCTACGGCCAATCCCGCCACCGCGCCTGGGATGTAGATCAAAGGCCTTTCAAATCCATGTTGGGATCTCTTGGGAGGCCTCTCGGAAGCTTCGTGGATGCAGTTTTGGAGTGGTTTGGGGCCTCTTGGGGGCCTCGTGGGGCCTCTCGTGGGCCTATTGGGGACCTCCTGGGGCTCCTTGGGGACCTGCTGGCGATCTCAAGGTCAACTCGGGCCGGAGGGCTCGAAATGTCAGTTCGTGTTCCCACTCTTGAGCCCCTCTTAGTGCCCTCTTGGAACACCTTGGGGCCTCGTCGGCGGTATCGGGGCTATCTTGCGCCTTGGGGTCGTCTTGGGGTGATCTTGGGGTCCTCTTGGACCGTCTTGGAGCTTCGGGAGCCCGAAAGGCGATACCGCTGACAACCTTCAAATCACCCAGGAACATAGCCCTGTCTAAACATATGACGATTATAAGCGGGACCGCCTGGTTGAAATGGATTCACGTACATGTCTGTTGCCCCCGCCCCCCCTTGAACGTTTCGCCAACGAACGCTTGAAACATCTCAAAGCCCCAATGCACGCAAGGATTATTGCGATCAACATTGGAGGTGACAAGTCATTCGTTGGCACTCCCAGGAGCTCAAGGATGTGGTGGCAGCGTCACAGATCGCAGCCCACCCAAGGACGGCGAGGTCTCGATCTGATGCGCGTGCGGTATATAACAAGTCACTGCGCTGGACCTACCAGGAGCTCACGAACGTGGCGACAGGCTCGCAGATCGCAGGGAACGGCGAGGTCTCAATCTGGTCTGCGTAAAAGGTCACTGCGCTGGCCCTCCCAGGAACTCATGAAAGAGGCGACAGTTTCGCAGATTGCAGGCCCCCCATGGATGGCGAGGTCTCGATCTGATGTGCGTACGGTAAGACCTCACTGCGCTGGTTTTCCCAGGAGCTCACGATGTGGTCTTCGAGTAAGACTTCACGGTGCTGGGCATCCAAGGTGCTTACCGAAGTGGCGGCAGGCTCGCAGATCGCAGCACCCCAGGGACGGCGAGGTCTCGATCTGGTCTGCGTAAGACGTCATTGCGCTGGCCCTTCCTTGAGCGCGCGAAGGTGGATACAGGTTCGCAGATCGCCGCCTCCTAAGACGACGAGTTCTTGATCTGATGCGCGTAAGACGTCACTGCGCTGGGCCTCCCAGGAACTCGTGAAAGAGGCGACGGTTGCGCAGACCGTTGCCACCCAGGGACGGCGAGGTCTCAATCTGGTCTGCGTAGGAGGTCACTGCGCTGGGCATCCCAAGCCTCACCAAAGTGGCGACTGTGTCGCAGATCGCAGCCCCCCAGGAATGGCGAGGTCTTGCTCTGGTCTGCGCGTAAGGCGTCACTTCGCTTGCTGGCCCAGGAGCACATTGAAGTGGCGACGGCTTCGCAGATTGCACCCTACCAGGGACGGCGAGGTCTCGATCTGGTCTGTGTAAGACGTCACTGCGCTGCGACCCCCAGGGCTCACCAACGTGGCGACGGTTTCGCAGGTCGCAGCCTTGCAGTAGCGGCGAGGTCTCGATCTGGTCTGCGTGAGACGTCATTGCGTTGGGCCTCCCAGCAGCTCACGAATGTGGCGACGGTTTCGCAGACCTTAGCCCCCCCCCCCCCCAGGGACGGCGATGCCTTGACCTGATCTGCGTGTAAGACGTCACTGCGCCGCTGGCCCCGCAGGAGCCCAATGATGTGGCCACGGGTTCGCAGATCGCAGCCCACCCCCATGGACGGCGAGGTCTCGATCTGGTCTGCGCGCAAGCCGTCACTGCGCTGGGCCTCGCGGGAACTCACGAGAGAGGCGACAGGTTCGCAGATCGCAGCCCCCAAGGGACGGCGACGTCTCGATCTCGTCTGCGTAGGGCCTCACTGCGCTGGGCCTCCCAGGAGCTCACCAACGTGGCGACGAGTTTGCAGATCGGAGCCCCCCAGGGACGGCGAGGTCTCGATCTGGTATGCGAAAGATGTCATTGCGCTGGGCCTCCCATGAGCTGAAGAACGTGTTGGCACTTTCCTGGATTGAAGCCTCTAGTTAGGGACTGAAAGGTCTCGGCGCCAGTCACGTCATTGGCGCCTCACCCCCGCCGCCCCGCCCTTTGCATCTCGCATCCTCTCCCTTCACGGATGAGGAGGAGGAGGAGGAGGAGGAGGAGGAGGAGGAGGAGGCGGAGGAGGAGAAGGGGGGACGGGGGAAGAGGAGGAGGAGGAGGAGGAGGAGGAGGAGGAGGAGGAGGAGGAGGAGGATACGAAGAACCCTTTATGGACGGCGCGGCGCCGAGAACATGGCGGCGGTTTCAAGGATGGCAGCCCCCCAGGGACGGCGAGGTCTCGATCTGGTCTGCGTAAGACGTCATTGCGCTGGGCATCACAGGAGCTCACCAAAGTGGCGATTGCATCGCAGATCGGAACCCCCTAGGGTCGGCGAGGTCTCGATCTGGCCTACGTAAGACGTCAATGCGCTGGGCCTCCCAGTAGCTCACGAATGTGGCGACGGGATCGCAGACCTTAGCCCCCCCCCCCAGGGACGGCGATGCCTTGACCTGATCTGCGTGGAAGACGTCACTGCGCCGCTGGCCCCGCAGGAGCCCAATCATGTGGCGACGGGTTCGCAGATCGCAGCCCAGGGCCTCGCGGGAGCTCACGAGAGAGGCGACAGGTTCGCAGATCGCAGCCCCCAAGGGACGGCGACGCCTCGATCTCGTCTGTGTAGGACGTCATTGCGCTGGGCCCAACAGGAGCTCACAAACTTGGCGACGATGTCGCAGATCGCAGCCCCCCAGGGGCGGGGAGGTCTCGATCTGGTATGCGAAAGATGTCATTGCGCTGGGCCCCCCAGGAGCTGAAGAACGTGTTGGCACTTTCCTGGATTGAAGCCTCTAGTTAGGGACTGAAAGGTCTCGACGCCAGTCACGCCATTGGCGCCTCACCCACGCCGCCCCGCCCTCCCCGTCCCGCATCCTCTCCCTTCACAGAGGAGGAGGAAGAGGAGGAGGAGGAGGAGGAGGCGGAGGAGGAGGAGGGGGAGGAGGAGGAGGAGGGAGGGGGAGGAGGAGGAGGAGGAGGAGGAGGAGGAGGAGGAGGAGGAGGAGGAGGAGGAGGAGGAGGAGGAGGAGGAGGAGGGAGGGAGGAGGAGGAGGAGGAGGAGGAGGAGGAGGAGGAGGAGGAGGAGGAGGGGGAGGAGGAGGAGGAGGAGGAGAATACGAAGAAGCCTCTATGGACGGCGCGGCGCCGAGAACATGGCGGCGGTTTCAAGGATGGCAGCCCCGCAGGGACGGCGAGGTCTCGATCTGGTCTGCGTAAGACGTCACTGCGCTGGGCCTCACAGGAGCTCACCGAAATGGCGACGGCATCGCAGATCGGACCCCCCTAGGGACGGCGAGGTCTCGATCTGGCCTGCGTCAGACGTCATTGCGCTGGGCATCCCAGGAGCTCACCAACGTGGCGAAGGTATCGCAGACCGGAGCCCCCCAGGGACGGCAAGGTCTCGATCTTTTCTGCGCAAGACGTCATTGCGTTGGGCCTCCCAGGAGCTCACCAACGTGGCGACGATTTTGCAGATCGGAGCCCCCCAGGGACGGCCAGGTCTCGACATGGTCTGCGTAAGACGTCACTGTGCTGGGCTTCCCAGGAGCTCACCAAAGTGGCGACGGCTTCGCAGATCGGAGCGTCCCCCCCAGGGACGGCGAGGTCTCGATCTGTTCTGCGCAAGACGTCATTGCGTTGGGCCTCCCACGAGATCACAAAAGTAGCGACAGTTTTGCAGATCGCAGCACCTCAGGGACGGCAAGGTCTCGATCTGGTCTGCGTAAGACGTCACTGCGTTGGGCCTCACATGAGCTCGCAAATGTGACGACGGTTTCGCAGATCGCAGCCCCCCCAAGGACGGCGAGGTCTTGACCTGGTCTGCGTAAGACGTCACTGCGCCAGGCCTCCCAGCAGCTCACCAAAGTGGCGACGGTTGCGCAGATCGCAGCGCCCCAGGGACGGCGAGGTCTCGCCCCGGTCTGCTTAAGTCGTCACTGCGCTTGGCCTCCCAGGAGCTCACCAAAGTGGCGACGGCAACGCAGATCGCAGCCCCCAGTGACGGCGAGGACCCGACCTGGCCTGCGTAAGACGTCACTGCGCTGGGCATCCCAGGAGCTCACCAAAGTGGCGACGTTATCGCAGATCGCAGCCCCCACAGGGTCGGCGAGGTCTCCGATCTGGTCTGCGTAAGACGTCATTGCGCTGGGCCTCCCATGAGCTCACCAACGTGGCGACGGTATCGCAGATCGGAGCCCCCCCAGCGGCGGCGAGGTCTCGATCTGGCCTGCGTAAGACGTCACTGTGCTGGGCCTCCCAGGAGCTCACCAAAGTTGCGACGGTTTGGCAGATCGCAGCCCCCCAGGGACGGTGAGGTCTCGATCTGGTCTGCGTAGGACGTCACTGCGCTTGGCTTCCCAGGAGCTCACCAACGTGGCGAAGGTATCGCAGACCGGAGCCCCCCAGGGACGGCAAGGTCTCGATCTTTTCTGCGCAAGACGTCATTGCGTTGGGCCTCCCACGAGATCACCAAAGTAGCGACAGTTTCGCAGATCGCAGCACCCCAGGGACGGCCAGGTCCCGATCTGGTCTGCGTAGGATATCATTGCGCTGTGCCTCCCAGGAGCTCACCAAAGTGGAGATGGTTTCGCAGATCGGAACCCCTCAGGGTCGGCGAGGTCTCCGATCTGGTCCGCATAAGACGTCACTGCGCTGGGCATCACAGAAGCTCACCAAAGTGGCGACAGCATCGCAGATCGCAGCCTCCCTGGGACGGTGCGGTCTCGACCTAGTCTGCGTAGTTAAGATGTTACTGCGCTGGGCCTCCTAAGAGCTCACCAACGTGGCGACTGTTTCGCAGATTGCAGCTCCCCAGGGTCAGCGAGGTCCCGATCTGGTCTGCGTAAGACAGAGCCTCCCAGGAGCTCACCAAAGTAGCGACGGTATCGCGCGGATCGGAGCCCCCCCCAGGGACGGCGAGGTTACGACCTGGTCTTCGTAAGACGTCATTGCGCTGGGCATCGCAGGAGCTCACCAGAAATTCGAGACAGCACCGCAGATCGCAGCCCCCCAGGGACGGCCAGGTCTCGATCTGGTCTGCGTAAGGCGTCACTGCGCTGGGCCTCCCAGGAGCTCACCACGTGGCGACGGTATCGCGGATCGGAGCCCCCCCAGGGGTGGCGAGGTTACGAACCGGTTTTCGTAAGACGTCACTGCGCTGGGCACCCCAGGAGCTCACCAGAAATTCGAGACGGCACCGCAGATCGCAGCCCCCCAGGGACGGCAAGGTCTCGATCTTGTCTGCGTAAGACGTCACTGCGCTGGGCCTCCCAGGAGCTCACCAAAGTGGCGACGGTATCGCAGATCGCAGCCCCCGAGGACGGCGAGGTCTCGATCTGGTCTTCGTCAGACGTCATTGCGTTGGGCATCCCAGGAGCTCACCATCGTGGCGACGATTTCGCAGATTGCAGCCCCCCCTAGGGTCGGCGAAGTCTCGATCTGGCCTGCGTCAGACGTCATTGCGCTGGGCCTCCCAGGAGCTCACCTAAGTTGCGACGGTTTCGCAGATCGCAGCGCCCCAGGGAGGGCGAGGTCTCGATCTGGTCTGCGTAAGACGTCACTTCGCTAGGCCTCCCAGGAGCTCATCATAGTGGCGACGGTTTCGCATATTGGAGCCCCCCAGGGACGGCGAGTTCTCGATCTGGCCCGCGTAAGACGTCACTGCGCTGGGCCTCCCAGGAGCTCACCTAAGTTGCGACGGTTTCGCAGATCGCAGCCCCCCAGCGACGACGAGGTCACGATCTGTTATGTAAAAGATGTCACTGCGCTGGGCCTCGCAGGAGATCACCAAAGTGGCGACGGTTTCGCAGATCGGAGCCCCCCAGGGACGGCGAGGTCGTCTGCGTAAGACGTCACTGCGCTGGGGCCTCCCAGGAGCTCACCAAAGTGGCGACGGTATCGCAGATCGCAGTCCCCCAGGGACGATGTCTCGATCTGGCCTGCGTAAGACGTCACTGTGCTGGGCCTTCCAGGAGCTTATCAAAGTGGCGACAGCATCGCAGATCGCAGCCCCCCAGCGACGGCGAGGTCACGATCTGTTCTGTAAAAGATATCACTGCGCTGGGCCTCCCAGGAGCTCACCAAAGTGGCGACGGTTTCGCAGATCGGAGCCCCCCAGGGACGGCGAGGTCACGATCTGTTCTGTAAAAGACGTCACTGCGCTGGGCCTCCCAGGAGCTCACCAAAGTGGCGACGGTATCGCAGATCGCAGTCCCCCAGGGACGATGTATCGATCTGGTCTGTGTAAGGCGTCACTGCGCTGGGCCTCCCAGGAGCTCACCAAAATGGCGACGGTTTCGCAGATTGCAGCTCCCCAAGGCCGGCGAGGTCTCCGATCTGGTTTGCGTAAGACGTCACTGCGCTGGGCCTCCCAGGAGCTCACCAATGTGGCGACGGTTTCACAGATCGCAGCCCCCCAGGCAGCGCAAGACGGGAGGAGAAGGGGTTTCTCTGTTCATTTCGAGAACCCAACCAGGGGAGGGGTGAGCACAACCAGCGTACAGTGAATGATGTTGACTTCTCGGGGCCCTCTTGGGGAGCTCCTTCGGTTGCCCATTGGAGGCCCCTTAGGGCGTCTTGGGGGGCGTCTTGGCTCGTCCTTGGGCCATCTTGAGCGTCTGGTAGCGATCTTCGGGCGGCTCGAGGCCCTCTCGGACAGTCTTGGGGGCCTCTTTGGGGCCCACCTTGCCCGTCTTTGGGCCCACCTGCTTCTGGAGAAGACGCGCGGGGAGCCCCTGAGAGCGCGCGGGAGCGCCCAGGACATCCGGAACTTGGGACGTGAGCCCACTAGACAAATTTAGCAGGGCTCACAACTGATACCTCGAATGGTCCTCAGGACACTCCGCTCCGTTCCCCGAGGCACGGTGGCGGACTTCGGGCAGCTCCACCACCACTGCGACGACTACGCCGCATTACGTCCTGCTGGGATTTGGCGACACGTGCGCGTCGCAGGGGTATGAAGAGATCGGAGACTCGACTGAGTGCTTCGGGGATGCGAAGAGCAGAGTTGCGGAGCTCAGCAGCGTGACGTCGTTCGTGCTAGTAAGCAGCCCATTTGCATGCGTGTTCCAGTACGGGGTGCTCTTCTTCGGCGACGGAAGCGCAGGCATTGCTGACGTCAGTAAGCAATACGTCTGCAAAGGGCCCGACCAGTTATCAACGACTACGACCCGGACGACATTGAGCACGTCCATGACAACAACCACCCAAAGATACGACCCTTACAACGTCAGATACCCGGACCTTTGCCAGATGTGGTATTTTCATGTCGTCAACGACACTACGACAGCGGGTCGCCAGGAGGCTTGCTTTACTGCAGCCGACTCAATGGTAAGCGTCGCAGCTTGGGGACAGGGCTTCATCAGCCTGCTTCCCGGGACAACTCTCGGAGGCTGCATCTTCACCCTCGGCGGTGACATCATCAATTTTTACGACAGGGATGCCCAAAATGCCTACGAGATTTGGCTCGACACTTGCGATGGCCTGACCACATCAACGGAGTCGTCCACCACCACAGCGTCCGGTACATCCACAGAGTCGTCCACCACCGGGAGTTCAAGTAAGACCCTCTCTTCGACCACAGAGACCTCTTCCACGACAGTGACATCCATAACGGAGACCTCTACATCGACCAAGAGTATGACATCTCGGACTTCCATTACGACTGCGAGTACGACATCTGAGACCTCTTCAACGACATTGTCATCGGCAACTGCGACCTCGACGACGACATTGACTACGACATCCCAAACCTCCGTTTCGACAGTGTCAACGACATCAGAGACCTCTACTACGACTGCGAGCACGGCATCCGAGACTTCTAGCACGACCACGTCCTCCAGAACTTCGGGCACCTTTTCCACGACATTGTCATCAACAACAGACACCTCCGACACCATGACGGCGTCTTCAAGCACGACCGTTTCGTCCTCGTCCAGAACCCTGACTTCGACTGTAAGTACGTCATCCGCGACATCCACTACGACTACGAGCACGACGTCCAAGACCAGTACCACGACGGTGTCTTCGAGCACGACCGTCTCTTCCACATCGGGAACCTCGGCTACGACAGCGACTACGATATCTCCGACCTCCACTACGACTGCAATTACGACATCCGAGACGTCTAGCGCGACAGTGTCATCCACGTCTGTTTCCACAACTTCTAGTACCTCGTCGACCACTGCGAGCACGACATCCGAGACCACTGCGAGTACGACACTGACTTCCATTTCGGGCAGCTCCACCACCACTGCGACGACTACGCCGCATTACGTCCTGCTGGGATTTGGCGACACGTGCGCGTCGCAGGGGTATGAAGAGATCGGAGACTCGACTGAGTGCTTCGGGGATGCGAAGAGCAGAGTTGCGGAGCTCAGCAGCGTGACGTCGTTCGTGCTAGTAAGCAGCCCATTTGCATGCGTGTTCCAGTACGGGGTGCTCTTCTTCGGCGACGGAAGCGCAGGCATTGCTGACGTCAGTAAGCAATACGTCTGCAAAGGGCCCGACCAGTTATCAACGACTACGACCCGGACGACATTGAGCACGTCCATGACAACAACCACCCAAAGATACGACCCTTACAACGTCAGATACCCGGACCTTTGCCAGATGTGGTATTTTCATGTCGTCAACGACACTACGACAGCGGGTCGCCAGGAGGCTTGCTTTACTGCAGCCGACTCAATGGTAAGCGTCGCAGCTTGGGGACAGGGCTTCATCAGCCTGCTTCCCGGGACAACTCTCGGAGGCTGCATCTTCACCCTCGGCGGTGACATCATCAATTTTTACGACAGGGATGCCCAAAATGCCTACGAGATTTGGCTCGACACTTGCGATGGCCTGACCACATCAACGGAGTCGTCCACCACCACAGCGTCCGGTACATCCACAGAGTCGTCCACCACCGGGAGTTCAAGTAAGACCCTCTCTTCGACCACAGAGACCTCTTCCACGACAGTGACATCCATAACGGAGACCTCTACATCGACCAAGAGTATGACATCTCGGACTTCCATTACGACTGCGAGTACGACATCTGAGACCTCTTCAACGACATTGTCATCGGCAACTGCGACCTCGACGACGACATTGACTACGACATCCCAAACCTCCGTTTCGACAGTGTCAACGACATCAGAGACCTCTACTACGACTGCGAGCACGGCATCCGAGACTTCTAGCACGACCACGTCCTCCAGAACTTCGGGCACCTTTTCCACGACATTGTCATCAACAACAGACACCTCCGACACCATGACGGCGTCTTCAAGCACGACCGTTTCGTCCTCGTCCAGAACCCTGACTTCGACTGTAAGTACGTCATCCGCGACATCCACTACGACTACGAGCACGACGTCCAAGACCAGTACCACGACGGTGTCTTCGAGCACGACCGTCTCTTCCACATCGGGAACCTCGGCTACGACAGCGACTACGATATCTCCGACCTCCACCACGACTGCAATTACGACATCCGAGACGTCTAGCGCGACAGTGTCATCCACGTCTGTTTCCACAACTTCTAGTACCTCGTCGACCACTGCGAGCACGACATCCGAGACCACTGCGAGTACGACACTGACTTCCATTTCGGGCAGCTCCACCACCACTGCGACGACTACGCCGCATTACGTCCTGCTGGGATTTGGCGACACGTGCGCGTCGCAGGGGTATGAAGAGATCGGAGACTCGACTGAGTGCTTCGGGGATGCGAAGAGCAGAGTTGCGGAGCTCAGCAGCGTGACGTCGTTCGTGCTAGTAAGCAGCCCATTTGCATGCGTGTTCCAGTACGGGGTGCTCTTCTTCGGCGACGGAAGCGCAGGCATTGCTGACGTCAGTAAGCAATACGTCTGCAAAGGGCCCGACCAGTTATCAACGACTACGACCCGGACGACATTGAGCACGTCCATGACAACAACCACCCAAAGATACGACCCTTACAACGTCAGATACCCGGACCTTTGCCAGATGTGGTATTTTCATGTCGTCAACGACACTACGACAGCGGGTCGCCAGGAGGCTTGCTTTACTGCAGCCGACTCAATGGTAAGCGTCGCAGCTTGGGGACAGGGCTTCATCAGCCTGCTTCCCGGGACAACTCTCGGAGGCTGCATCTTCACCCTCGGCGGTGATATCATCAATTTTTACGACAGGGATGCCCAAAATGCCTACGAGATTTGGCTCGACACTTGCGATGGCCTGACCACATCAACCGAGTCGTCCACCACCACAGCGTCCGGCACATCCACAGAGTCGTCCACCACCGGGAGTTCAAGTAAGACCCTCTCTTCGACCACAGAGACCTCTTCCACGACAGTGACATCCATAACGGAGACCTCTACATCGACCAAGAGTACGACATCTCGGACTTCCACTACGACTGCGAGTACGACATCTGAGACCTCTTCAACGACATTGTCATCGGCAACTGCGACCTCGACGACGACATTGACTACGACATCCAAAACCTCCAGTTCGACAGTGTCAACGACATCAGAGACCTCTACTACGACTGCGAGCACGGCATCCGAGACTTCTAGCACGACCACGTCCTCCAGAACTTCGGGCACCTTTTCCACGACATTGTCATCAACAACAGACACCTCCGACACCATGACGGCGTCTTCAAGCACGACCGTTTCGTCCACGTCCGCAACGCCGACTTCGACTGCAAGCACGACATCTCAGACCTCCACCACGACTGCGAGCACGACGTCCAAGACCAGTATCACAACGATGTCTTCTAGCACGACCTTGTCTGCCAGCACGTCATCGGGGACTTCGAGCACGACCGTGTCTTCCGGCACGACACTGACCACTATCGAGTGGCCTACGGCCAATCCCGCCACCGCGCCTGGGATGTAGATCAAAGGCCTTTCAAATCCATGTTGGGATCTCTTGGGAGGCCTCTTGGAAGCTTCGTGGATGCAGTTTTGGAGTGGTTTGGGGCCTCTTGGGGGCCTCGTGGGGCCTCTCGTGGGCCTATTGGGGACCTCCTGGGGCTCCTTGGGGACCTGCTGGCGATCTCAAGGTCAACTCGGGCCGGAGGGCTCGAAATGTCAGTTCGTGTTCCCACTCTTGAGCCCCTCTTAGTGCCCTCTTGGAACACCTTGGGGCCTCGTCGGCGGTATCGGGGCTATCTTGCGCCTTGGGGTCGTCTTGGGGTGATCTTGGGGTCCTCTTGGACCGTCTTGGAGCTTCGGGAGCCCGAAAGGCGATACCGCTAACAACCTTCAAATCACCCAGGAACATAGCCCTGTCTAAACATATGACGATTATAAGCGGGACCGCCTGGTTGAAATGGATTCACGTACATGTCTGTTGCCCCCGCCCCCCCTTGAACGTTTCGCCAACGAACGCTTGAAACATCTCAAAGCCCCAATGCACGCAAGGATTATTGCGATCAACATTGGAAGTGACAAGTCATTCGTTGGCCCTCCCAGGAGCTCAAGGATGTGGTGGCAGCTTCACAGATCGCAGCCCACCCAAGGACGGCGAGGTCTCGATCTGATGCGCGTGCGGTATATAACAAGTCACTGCGCTGGACCTACCAGGAGCTCACGAACGTGGCGACAGGCTCGCAGATCGCAGGGAACGGCGAGGTCTCAATCTGGTCTGCGTAAAAGGTCACTGCGCTGGCCCTCCCAGGAACTCATGAAAGAGGCGACAGTTTCGCAGATTGCAGCCCCCCATGGATGGCGAGGTCTCGATCTGATGTGCGTACGGTAAGACCTCACTGCGCTGGCTCTCCCAGGAGCTCACGAAAGTCTCACTGGGACGGCGAGGTCTCGATGTGGTCTTCGAGTAAGACTTCACGGTGCTGGGCATCCAAGGTGCTTACCGAAGTGGCGGCAGGCTCGCAGATCGCAGCACCCCAGGGACGGCGAGGTCTCGATCTGGTCTGCGTAAGACGTCATTGCGCTGGCCCTTCCTTGAGCGCGCGAAGGTGGATACAGGTTCGCAGATCGCCGCCTCCTAAGACGACGAGTTCTTGATCTGATGTGCGTAAGACGTCACTGCGCTGGGCCTCCCAGGAACTCGTGAAAGAGGCGACGGTTGCGCAGACCGTAGCCACCCAGGGACGGCGAGGTCTCAATCTGGTCTGCGTAGGAGGTCACTGCGCTGGGCATCCCAAGCCTCACCAAAGTGGCGACTGTGTCGCAGATCGCAGCCCCCCAGGAATGGCGAGGTCTTGCTCTGGTCTTCGCGTAAGGCGTCACTTCGCTTGCTGGCCCAGGAGCACAATGAAGTGGCGACGGCTTCGCAGATTGCACCCCACCAGGGACGGCGAGGTCTCGATCTGGTCTGTGTAAGACGTCACTGCGCTGTGACCCGCAGGGCTCACCAAAGTGGCGACGGTTTCCAATGATATGGCCACGGGTTCGCAGATCGCAGCCCACCCCCATGGACGGCGAGGTCTCGATCTGGTCTGCGCGCAAGCCGTCACTGCGCTGGGCCTCGCGGGAACTCACGAGAGAGGCGACAGGTTCGCAGATCGCAGCCCCCAAGGGACGGCGACGTCTCGATCTCGTCTGCGTAGGGCCTCACTGCGCTGGGCCTCCCAGGAGCTCACCAACGTGGCGACGATTTTGCAGATCGGAGCCCCCCAGGGACGGCGAGGTCTCGATCTGGTCTGCGAAAGATGTCATTGCGCTGGGCCTCCCAGGAGCTGAAGAACGTGTTGGCACTTTCCTGGATTGAAGCCTCTAGTTAGGGACTGAAAGGTCCCGGCGCCAGTCACGCCATTGGCGCCTCACCCCCGCCGCCCCGCCCTCCGCATCTCGCATCCTCTCCCTTCACGGATGAGGATGAGGAGGAGGAGGAGGAGGAGGCGGAGGAGGAGAAGGGGGGAAGGGGGAAGAGGAGGACGAGGAGGAGGAGGAGGAGGAGAATACGAAGAAGCCTCTATGGACGGCGCGGCGCCGAGAAAATGGCGGCGGTTTCAAGGATGGCAGCCCCCCAGGGACGGCGAGGTCTCGATCTGGTCTGCGTAAGACGTCACTGCGCTGGGCATCACAGGAGCTCACCAAAGTGGCGACTGCATCGCAGATCGGAACCCCCTAGGGTCGGCGAGGTCTCGATCTGGCCTACGTAAGACGTCATTGCGCTGGGCCTCCCAGGAGCTCACGAATTTGGCGACGGTTTCGCAGACCTTAGCCTCCCCCCCAGGGACGGCGATGCCTTGACCTGATCTGCGTGTAAGACGTCGCCGAGCCGCTGGCCCCGCAGGAGACCAGTCATGTGGCGACGGGTTCGCAGATCGCAGCCCAGGGCCTCGCGGGAGCTCACGAGAGAGGCGACAGGTTCGCAGATCGCAGCCCCCAAGGGACGGCGACGTCTCGATCTCGTCTGCGTAGGACGTCATTGCGCTGGGCCTCACAGGAGCTCACAAACTTGGCGACGTTGTCGCAGATCGCAGCCCCCCAGGGGCGGGGAGGTCTCGATCTGGTCTGCGAAAGATGTCATTGCGCTGGGCCTCCCAGGAGCTGAAGAACGTGTTGGCACTTTCCTGGATTGAAGCCTCTAGTTAGGGACTGAAAGGTCTCGACGCCAGTCACGCCATTGGTGCCTCACCCACGCCGCCCCGCCCTCCCCGTCCCGCATCCTCTCCCTTCACAGAGGAGGAGGGAGGAGGAGGAGGAGGAGGAGGAGGAGGAGGAGGAGGAGGAGGAGGAGGAGGAGGAGGAGAGGAGGAGGAGGAGGAGGAGGAGGAGGGGGAGGGGGAGGGAGGAGGAGGAGGAGGAGGGAGTTGGGAGGAGGAGGAGGAGGAGGAGGAGGAGGAGGAGGAGGAGGGGGAGGAGGAGGAGGAGGAGGGAGGAGGAGGAGGAGGAGGAGAGGAGGGGAGGAGGGAGGAGGAGGAGGAGGAGGAGGCGGAGGAGGAGGAGGAGGAGGAGAATACGAAGAAGCCTCTATGGACGGCGCGGCGCCGAGAAAATGGCGGCGGTTTCAAGGATGGCAGCCCCGCAGGGACGGCGAGGTCTCGATCTGGTCTGCGTAAGACGTCACTGCGCTGGGCCTCACAGGAGCTCACCGAAATGGCGACGGCATCGCAGATCGGAACCCCCTAGGGACGGCGAGGTCTCGATCTGGCCTGCGTAAGACGTCACTGCGCTGGGCATCCCAGGAGCTCACCAACGTGGCGAGGGTATCGCAGATCGGAGCTCCCCAAGGACAGCGCGGTCTCGACCTGGTCTGCGTAAGACGTCACTGCGCTGGGCCTCCCAGGAGCTCACAAAAGTGGCGACGGCTTCGCAGATCGGAGCGTTCCCCCAGGGACGGCGAGGTCTCGATCTGTTCTGCGCAAGACGTCATTGCGTTGGGCCTCCCACGAGATCACCAAAGTAGCGACAGTTTCGCAGCACCTCAGGGACGGCAATGTCTCGATCTGGTCTGCGTAAGACGTCACTGCGTTGAGCCTCACATGAGCTCGCAAATGTGACGACGGTTTCGCAGATCGGAGCTCCCCAAGGACAGCGCGGTCTCGACCTGGTCTGCGTAAGACGTCACTGCGCCGGGCCTCCCAGCAGCTCACCAAAGTGGCGACGGTTGCGCAGATCGCAGCGCCCCAGGGACAGCGAGGTCTCGACCTGCTCTGCTTAAGTCGTCACTGCGCTGGGCCTCCCAGGAGCTCACCTAAGTGGCGACGGCAACGCAGATCGCAGCCCCCAGGGACGGCGAGGACCCGACCTGGTCTGCGAAAGACGTCACTTCGCTGGGCCTCCCAGGAGCTCACCAAAGTGGCGACGTTATCGCAGATCGCAGCCCCCCAAAGGACGGCGAGGTCTCGATCTGGTCTGCGTAAGACGTCATTGCGCTGGGCCTCCCATGAGCTCACCAACGTTGCTTCGGTATCGCAGATCGGAGCCCCCCCAGGGGCGGCGAGGTCTCGATCTGGCCTGCGTAAGACGTCACTGCGCTGGGCCTCCCAGGAGCTCACCAAAGTTGCGACGGTTTGGCAGATCGCAGCCCCCCAGGGACGGTGAGGTCTCGATCTGGTCTGCGTAAGACGTCACTGCGCTTGGCTTCCCAGGAGCTCACCAACGTGGCGAAGGTATCGCAGACCGGAGCCCACCAGGGACGGCAAGGTCTCGATCTTTTCTGCGCAAGACGTCATTGCGTTGGGCCTCCCACGAGATCACAAAAGTAGCGACAGTTTCGGAGATCGCAGCACCCCAGGGACGGCCAGGTCCCGATCTGGTCTGTGTAGGATATCATTGCGCTGTGCCTCCCAGGAGCTCACCAAAGTGGAGATGGTTTCGCAGATCGGAACCCCTCAGGGTCGGCGAGGTCTCCGATCTGGTCTGCGTAAGACGTCACTGCGCTGGGCATCACAGAAGCTCACCAAAGTGGCGACAGCATCGCAGATCGCAGCCTCCCTGGGACGGCGCGGTCTCGACCTAGTCTGCGCAGTTAAGATGTTACTGCGCTGGGCCTCCTAAGAGCTCACCAGCGTGGCGACTGTTTCGCAGATTGCAGCTCCCCAGGGTCAGCGAGGTCCCGATCTGGTCTGCGTAAGACAGAGCCTCCCAGGAGCTCACCAAAGTAGCGACGGTATCGCGCGGATCGGAGACCCCCCCAGGGACGGCGAGGTTACGACCTGGTCTTCGTAAGACGTCACTGCGCTGGGCACCCCAGGAGCTCACCAGAAATTCGAGACGGCACCGCAGATCGCAGCCCCCCAGGGACGGCAAGGTCTCGATCTTGTCAGCGTAAGACGTCACTGCGCTGGGCCTCCCAGGAGCTCACCAAAGTGGCGACGGTATCGCAGATCGCAGCCCCCGAAAGGACGGCGAGGTCTCGATCTGGTCTGCGTCAGACGTCATTGCGCTGGGCATCCCAGGAGCTCACCATCGTGGCGACGATTTCGCAGATTGCAGCCCCCCCTAGGGACGGTGAGGTCTCGATCTGGCCTGCGTAAGACGTCACTGCGCTGGGCCTCCCAGGAGCTCACCTAAGTTGCGACGGTTTCGCAGATCGCCGCTCGCCATGGAGGGCGCGGTCTCGATCTGGTCTGCGTAAGACGTCACTTCGCTAGGCCTCCCAGGAGCTCATCATAGTGGCGACGGTTTCGCAGATTGGAGCCCCCCAGGGACGGCGAGGTCTCGATCTGGTCCGCGTAAGACGTCACTGCGCTGGGCCTCCCAGGAGCTCACCTAAGTTGCGACGGTTTTGCAGATCGCAGCCCCCCAGCGACGGCGAGGTCACGATCTGTTATGTAAAAGATGTCACTGCGCTGGGCCTCGCAGGAGATCACCAAAGTGGCGACGGTTTCGCAGATCGGAGCCCCCCAGGGACGGCGAGGTCGTCTGCGTAAGACGTCACTGCGCTGGGGCCTCCCAGGAGCTCACCAAAGTGGCGACGGTATCGCAGATCGCAGTCCCCCAGGGACGATGTCTCGATCTGGTCTGTGTAAGGTGTCACTGCGCTGGGCCTCCCAGGAGCTTGCCAAATTGGCGACAGCATCGCAGATCGCAGCCCCCCAGCGACGGCGAGGTCACGATCTGTTCTGTAAAAGATATTACTGCGCCGGGCCTCCCAGGAGCTCACCAAAGTGGCGACGGTTTCGCAGATCGGAGCCCCCCAGGGACGGCGAGGTCGTCTGCGTAAGACGTCACTGCGCTGGGCCTCCCAGGAGCTCACCAAAGTGGCGACGGTATCGCAGATCGCAGTCCCCCAGGGACGATGTCTCGATCTGGTCTGTGTAAGGCGTCACTGCGCTGGGCCTCCCAGGAGCTCACCAAAATGGCGACGGTTTCGCAGATTGGAGCTCCCCAAGGCCGGCGAGGTCTCCGATCTGGTTTGCGTAAGTCACTGCGCTGGGCCTCCCAGGAGCTCACCAAAGTAGCGACGGTTTCACAGATCGCAGCCCCCCAGGCAGCGCAAGACGGGGAGGAGAAGGGTTTTCTCTGTTCATTTCGAGAACCCAACCAGGGGAGGGGTGAGCACAACCAGCGTACAGTGAATGATGTTGACTTCTCGGGGCCCTCTTGGGGAGCTCCTTCGGTTGCCCATTGGAGGCCCCTTAGGGCGTCTTGGGGGGCGTCTTGGCTCGTCCTTGGGCCATCTTGAGCGTCTGGGAGCGATCTTCGGGCGACTCGAGGCCCTCTCGGACAGTCTTGGGGGCCTCTTTGGGGCCCACCTTGCCCGTCTTTGGGCCCACCTGCTTCTGGAGAAGACGCGCGGGGAGCCCCTGAGAGCGCGCGGGAGCGCCCAGGAGATCCGGAACTTGGGGCGTGAGCCCACTAGACAAATTTAGCAGGGCTCACAACTGATACCTCGAATGGTCCTGAGGACACTCCGCTCCGTTCCCCGAGGCACGGTGGCGGACTTCGGGCAGCTCCACCACCACTGCGACGACTACGCCGCATTACGTCCTGCTGGGATTTGGCGACACGTGCGCGTCGCAGGGGTATGAAGAGATCGGAGACTCGACTGAGTGCTTCGGGGATGCGAAGAGCAGAGTTGCGGAGCTCAGCAGCGTGACGTCGTTCGTGCCAGTAAACAGCCCATTTGCATGCGTGTTCCAGTACGGGGTGCTCTTCTTCGGCGACGGAAGCGCAGGCATTGCTGACGTCAGTAAGCAATACGTCTGCAAAGGGCCCGACCAGTTATCAACGACTACGACCCGGACGACATGGAGCACGTCCATGACAACAACCACCCAAAGATACGACCCTTACAACGTCAGATACCCGGACCTTTGCCAGATGTGGTATTTTCATGTCGTCAACGACACTACGACAGCGGGTCGCCAGGAGGCTTGCTTTACTGCAGCCGACTCAATGGTAAGCGTCGCAGCTTGGGGACAGGGCTTCATCAGCCTGCTTCCCGGGACAACTCTCGGAGGCTGCATCTTCACCCTCGGCGGTGACATCATCAATTTCTACGACAGGGATGCCCAAAATGCCTACGAGATTTGGCTCGACACTTGCGATGGCCTGACCACATCAACCGAGTCGTCCACCACCACAGCGTCCGGTACATCCACAGAGTCGTCCACCACCGGGAGTTCAAGTAAGACCCTCTCTTTGACCACAGAGACCTCTTCCACGACAGTGACATCCATAACGGAGACCTCTACATCGACCAAGAGTATGACATCTCGGACTTCCACTACGACTGCGAGTACGACATCTGGAACCTCTTCCACGACATTGTCATCGGCAACAGCGACCTCGATGACGACAGTGACTACGACATCCAAGACCTCCAGCTCGACGATTTCTACGACCACGACAGTGTCGACGGTAACGGAGACGTCATCTACTATTACGAGTACGACATCGTGGACCTCTTCCACGACCGAATCGTCGACAAGTGAGACTTCCAGTAAGACTTTCAGCACGACTTCTGACACCTCGTCGACTACACGGACGTTCTCCACAACTGTGTCTACGACATCCGCGACATCCAGCAGCACTGCGACTACGACATCTGCTTCGTCTTCGACCACGCACACGTTTGGCGCATACGTTCGCTACGTCTGCAAAGGAGAACAGCAGACGACCGCAACCACGGAGTCGTCCACGAGCACGGCTTCCAGCCAAACGGAGAGTTCCAGCACGACCGTTTTTACGACCACCGAGACATTGTTCACGACACTGTCAACGAAAACAGATACCTCAACCACGACCGCGATCTCGTCATCCGATTCCTCCAGTACGACTATTTCAACGAAGACAGATACGTCTACCAATACCGTGACCACGATGTCGGATACATCTAGCATGACAGCAACACAAACAAGCATGTCGGACACCTCCACCAAAACCAGGACCTCTGACACGACACTGTCAACGAAAACAGATACCTCAACCACGATTGCGATCTCGTCATCCGATTCCTCTAGTACGACTATTTCAACGAAGACAGATACGTCTACCAATACCGTGACCACGATGTCGGATACATTTAGCATGACAGCAACACAAACAAGCATGTCGGACACCTCCACCAAAACCAGGACCTCTGACACGACACTGTCAACGAAAACAGATACCTCAACCACGATTGCGATCTCGTCATCCGATTCCTCTAGTACGACTATTTCAACGAAGACAGATACGTCTACCAATACCGTGACCACGATGTCGGATACATTTAGCATGACAGCAACACAAACAAGCATGTCGGACAGCACAGCGCAGGTTGGGACGACTGGCGACGCCGCTACGACAGCGCCCGAGGAGTCGACCTCTCCCGTGGCTGAGACCACAGGTGCCATTAGTACAATACCACCCGTAGATGGCACTGCGACCAGCACAAGTGGCACCATTGCCGCGCAGAGCAGCACCGGCGCAATCAGCACCACTGCGACCAGCACCACTGCGACCAGCACCACTGCGACCAGCACAAGTGGCACCACTACCACGCAGAGCAGCACCAGCGTAACCAGCACCACTGCGACCAGTTCCAGTATCACCGCGACTAGCACCACTACGCCGCTTTACGTCGTAATGACTTCCATATGGTTTGAAAGCTCTGGTTCCGAAGAGGAGGTGACAAATGCGGTGACTTCTCATCTATTGAACTTCTACGAGATAGCTGAGGAACAATTGTCTGTAGCTGTCGTCGCTAACGCGTCCGCATCCTCATCCAGGAGACTTTCCAGCTCGTATGATATCGATGTTGAGATAGTCGCCCCCATCGATGCTGCCCAGCAAATCTTGGATGTGACAGTCAGTATTGTCAATGATACAGCTAATTTCACAGAGTCTATGCAAGCAACTTTCCAGTCGAACGGCATGACTGTGACTGCATCTTCGATCATTATTGCACCACCAGAAATGAAGATTGTTACTGCCACCATGACAACCGTGAGTGCCACCCAGACTAGTGCGACGGCAACCACCATCTCTCTGACGAGCAGTACCAGCTCGACCAGCAGCACTGGAACCAGCACTGCGACCCGCATCACTCAGACGAGCACCGCGACGTTCACAATCACAGTATCTGACACTAGCATAACCACGACCAGTGCGATCAGTACGAGCATGACCCAGACAAGCACCGCTGGCACGACATCCGTGACCTCTACCACGACAGTGACATCGGAAACATATTATACGACCGTGCCAACGGCAACAGACACCTCCGTCACGACGACAATTTCATCGGCTGGCACTTCGGCGACCAACAATTTCAGCACATCAGTGTCATCTCCACCCGGAGACAGCACATTTCAGGTGGACGCCTTTACGACAGCGCCCGAGGAGTCGACCTCTCCCATGGTGGAGACGACAGATGCCGTCAGTACAACACCACCCGGAGACAGCACAGTTCAGGCGGGGACGACTGGCGACGCCGCTACGACAGCGCCCGAGGAGTCGACCACCCCGATGGCGGAGACGACAGGTGCCGTCAGTGCAACATCACCGGAAGACAGCACATTTCAGGCGGGGACGCCTGGTGACGCTACTACAACAGCGCCTGAGGAGTCGACCTCTTCCGTGGTGGAGACGGCAGATGCCGTCAGTACAGCACCACCTGGAGACAGCACAGCTCAGGCGGGGACGCTTGGCGACGCCGCCACGACAGCGCCTGAGGAGTCGACCACCCCGATGGCGGAGACGACAGGTGCCGTCAGTGCAACACCACCCGGAGACAGCACAGTTCAGGCGGGGACGACTGGTGACGCTACTACAACAGCGCCTGAGGAGTCGACCTCTTCCGCGGTGGAGACGGCAGATGCCGTCAGTACAGCACCACCCGGAGACAGCACAGCTCAGGCGGGGACGACTGGCGACGCCGCTACGACAGCGCCCGAGGAGTCGACCACCCCGATGGCGGAGACGACAGGTGCCGTCAGTGCAACACCACCCGGAGACAGCACATTTCAGGTGGACGCCTTTACGACAGCGCCCGAGGATTCGACTTTTGCCGTGGTGGAGACGACAGATGCCGTCAGTACAGCACCACCCGGAGACAGCACAGCTCAGGCGGGGACGACTGGCGACGCCGCTACGACAGCGCCCGAGGAGTCGACCACCCCGATGGCGGAGACGACAGGTGCCGTCAGTGCAACACCACCCGGAGACAGCACATTTCAGGTGGACGCCTTTACGACAGCGCCCGAGGATTCGACTTTTGCCGTGGTGGAGACGACAGATGCCGTCAGTACAGCACCGCCCGGAGACAGCACAGGTCAGGCGGGGACGACTGGCGACGCCGCTACGACAGCGCCCGAGGAGTCGACCTCCCCGATCGCGGAGACGACAGGTGCCGTCAGTGCAACACCACCCGGAGACAGCACATTTCAGGCCGGGACGACTGGTGACGCTACTACGACAGCGCCTGAGGAGTCGACCTCTTCCGTGATGGGAACGGCAAATGCCGTCAGTACAGCACCACCCGAAGACAGCACAGCTCAGGCGGGAACCTTTGGCTACGCCGCTACGACAGCGCCCGAGGAGTCGACCACCCCGATGGCGGAGACGACAGGTGCCGTCAGTGCAACACCATCCGGAGACAGCACATTTCAGGCGGGGACGACTGGTGACGCTACTACAACAGCGCCTGAGGAGTCGACCTCTTCCGTGGTGGAGACGACAGATGCCGTCAGTACAGCACCACCCGGAGACAGCACAGCTCAGGCGGGGACGACTGGCGACGCCGCTACGACAGCGCCCGAGGAGTCGACCTCCCCGATGGCGGAGACGACAGGTGCCGTCAGTGCAACACCACCCGGAGACAGCACATTTCAGGCGGGGACGACTGGTTACGCGAGTACGACAGCGCCTGAGGAGTCGACCTCTTCCGGGGTGGAGACGGCAGATGCCGTCAGTACAGCACCACCCGGAGACAGCACATTTCAGGTGGACGCCTTTACGACAGCGCCCGAGGATTCGACTTTTGCCGTGGTGGAGACGACAGATGCCGTCAGTACAGCACCGCCCGGAGACAGCACAGGTCAGGCGGGGACGACTGGCGACGCCGCTACGACAGCGCCCGAGGAGTCGACCACCCCGATGGCAGAGACGACAGGTGCCGTCAGTGCAACACCACCCGGAGACAGCACATTTCAGGTGGACGCCTTTACGACAGCGCCCGAGGATTCGACCTCTCCCGTGGTGGGGACGACAGATGCCGTCAGTACAGCACCACCCGGAGACAGCACAGCTCAGGTAACGACTGTGAGCACCGTATCGACGACCTCCAGCACAACAGTATCAACGAAAACAGGGACTTCCAGCACCACTGGCACGTCCAGCACGACAGTGCCAACTGAAACAGAAACTTCCGTCACAACTCGAAGTGTGACTTCCGAGACGTCGAGCAGCTCAGAGTCAACGAAAACCGAGACTTCCAGTATGATTGCAAGCACGACCTCCATGAGTGGCACGACTGCGAGTATGACTTCAGCTACGTCTAGCAGGACGGTCACATCGAGCACATCTATTTCGACACTGTCAACGAAAACATTGACTTCATTAACGACTGTGAGCACCGTATCGGCGACCTCCAGCACAACAGTATCAACGAAAACAGGGACTTCCAGCACCACTGGCACGTCCAGCACGACAGTGCCAACTGAAACAGAAACTTCCGTCACAACTCGAAGTGTGACTTCCGAGACGTCGAGCAATTCAGAGTCAACGAAAACCGAGACTTCCAGTATGACTGCAAGCACGACCTCCATGAGTGGCACGACTGCGAGTATGACTTCAGCTACGTCTAGCAGGACGGTCACATCCAGCACATCTATTTCGACACTGTCAACGAAAACATTGACTTCATTAACGACTGTGAGCACCGTATCGACGACCTCCAGCACAACAATATCAACGAAAACAGGGACTTCCAGCACCACTCGCACGTCCAGCACGACAGTGCCAACTGAAACAGGAACTTCCGTCACAACTCGAAGTGTGACTTCCGAGACGTCGAGCAACTCAGAGTCAACGAAAACCGAGACTTCCAGTATGACTGCAAGCACGACCTCCATGAGTGGCACGACTGCGAGTATGACTTCAGCTACGTCTAGCAGGACGGTCACATCGGGAACAGAGACATCGAGCAAGTCAGTGTCAACGACATCTGAGTCTTCTACCACGACTGCGACTAGGACATCTGGTACTTCTGCCACTACTTGGAGCACGTCATCCGAAACATCAACTTCTAGCACGACTGTGACTACAATATCCGATACTTCCAGCAGCACGGGGACCACCCAGAGTTCAAGCACCACTTGGACCACGACGACCAAAACCTCTTCCTCGACGGTGTCTGCAACCACCGGTAGCTCTACTTCGACTGGGACTTCGCCAACCAGGACCTCTACCAAGACGGGAACTACGACATCCAAGTCTTCCAGAACGATTGTGTCTACAACCACTGAGACCTTTACAACCACTGAGATTTCGACAAGCGAGACTTCCAGCAATACTGGGACTATGACAAGCGAGACCTCCAGCACGACCATGTCTTCCAGTACCTCACTGACTAATAGTTCGGGCACCATTTCCACGACAATGTCATCGACAACAGAGACCTCCGGCACCACAACGGCGACGTCAAGCACGACCGCCTCGCTCACGTCTGGAACTTCGACCTCGACTACAAGTACGTTATCCCTGACATCCAGCACGACTCCGAGTACGACGTCTGAGACCTCAAGTGCGAGCTTATCCTCCACGTCAGTGACCGTGACTGCCACCATAGAGCGGTTGTCCGAGATCCGCAGTACCCTTCGGCTTACATTCGGCACCAACGTCTCCACAGCCGATGCTGCGGCCGCTGCCCAGCGCGCCGTTGCGTTGTATCTGAACACGTCGGAATCGCTGGTCGTCATCGACGCTGTAACCGTCAATCAAGCAGGCGCATCTCGCAGCGGATGGGGTGCGAGAGCACTCAGCAGCCTCGCATACGAAATTGCTTACATTCTCTTTGTAGGGGGATCCGACATTGAGAGGCAGGAAGCAAGCTTGACTGCTCTGTTCCATGATACCAGCGCCATCGCTTCAACACTACAGATGGTGGTCGAGCAAATGGGTCTGCCGAATGTAACATCCGTACTTGCAACCATACCAGAAATTCGATTGTGGTCTGCACCGGCGACAACACACACGTCAACGACGGATCTTGGCACGAGCAGCCCAGAGCTACCGATCGGAGCATGCGTCGGCGGCCCAGAGTTGCCGACCGGGTATGAGGTGTGGGATCCAGGCTGCGTCAATATGAGCTACCTGGACGTGTGTAATATCTCATGCTCCGACGGTTACGAACATCTGGGGGGCCCAGTCCAGATCGATTGCTCTGCCACAGCGGGTTACAGCTGGGTCAACGGCTCGGGAGCTTGCACCGAGAAGTCATGCTACGCGGACTCGGTGCCAGACATGTGGGGTGTGGCCAGTGCTTCTTCTTGCGTCGGCACTGCAAGCGGCACAAGCTGCTCGCCAGTATGCAACGACTCGTACGAACTGATCGAGCCAATGACGTGCAACAAGGGCCAATTCGATGAGCTGCCATTGATATGTGTACCTTCCGAGCACGCAGGGACGCTCGAGGTCGTGGACACACTTTTCATTGAGATGACAATCGCCACCAATGAGTCCCAGTCGGGTCTCACCGCCGAGTGGGCCAGAAGTGCTGGAGGCGAGGCTGCCATCAAGAGCTCGATCGGCAAGACCTTGGGCCTGCTGCAGGGGCAGATCTTCCTGAAAGGGCAGAAGGACCTGACCTCCGACCGGGGCCCTGCCGCTCCATCGCAGGGGCTGTTCTTAGAGGTCGTGCTCCAGCCGTACCCGATTGACAACGTGACAGACCTGGAGAATCGCATCCCTGCCCTGGGCGGGGGCAACTTTACCCGCGAGCTCGACGCGGCCCTAAGGAGCTCCGGAACCAGCGCCCTGCCTGGCCTCGCCGCGGCCACGCTCGTCGTCGTGGCGCCCGCGCAGGTCAGCTTCACCCTTCCCGTGGCGCGATGGGTTGCCCGCGGTGACTGGACGTTGTGCAGCAATCTCTGCGGCCTTCGAGGAAACAATCAGAAGCATGAACTTTCGGAGGTTCGCGCGCATCTCTTGGACTGGAGCTGGACCCCCCTGGCGGCCCGGGCGTTGCGTAATGGGGGGGGGCGATAAGATGAAGGGGGTCAAGGAAGGTGCACCTCTCGTGCACGAAATGAGACCACAAGGGGTTCCCTGGGACCCACGAAAAGGGGCACGAAGGGAGTGCGCTTCTTCGCCCCCGTATTTATCGCCCTCCCCATTAAGCAGCGGCCAAGCGGCGCCTCCAGCGCCGCCCTTCGCGCGTTCCGCGCGCCAGGCCGGGTGCAGCGCCGATGCAAGAAATCCGCCCGCACCTCCGAAAGTTTACGTTTGCACTGTCTTGCTGTTTCCTCCAGGCGCGGGCGTGCGCACCCGCATGGTGGAGTGCCAGGGTGCGTGGGGGAGCGACGCCGTCGACCTGTGCAACGCCAACGCTGCCCCAGGATTCACCATGGAGTCGTACATGCCTGCCTCCGAGTCCTGTGAGCAGTACACATTGTGCGCCTACGACTGGACCTGCCCAGGCGGCCCAGATCCTGTGACGGGCGAGGGCTGCGAGGCGCAGGCATCGGGCGTAGCAGTGGCGCTCTGTGTCACGTTCCTCTGCTGTGTTTGCCTGATGTGCCGACTGGCCCGGAGAAGGTACAAAACGTTGATGCCGACAGGCATCGTGTGGACGAGGGAAGAAGGACTTGACGACGGTGGCGGGAATCTTCGAGAGACGAACGATACTGCTCCAGAGGCAGCTACGTTTGACATGGGTTCGGCAACAAGCTTTTCCCACAACGTCTTCCAAAAGGGGCAGACGGTGGATTATTGGTCAGCCGCCACAAAGACATGGCTGCCAGCCGAGATCCTCGATGTCAGGGACGCCAGCTACGACATACGGGTTGGGGCTGCCGAGCAGACAGTGCACGGCGTAAGCGTAAAGGACCTGCGCGTGCCATTCGATGAAGTCGAATCGGCGAAGGTGCACGAGGTTCACACCCCCACACAGAGTGTATCCAACGCCGCAGGGGCACCAGAGCGTGCCACAGCGCACCTAGTGCCGGCGGCCGAGGATGTTTTCATCGTCTGATTTTTTTGCTCGATGTCCGAGACTTTTGTTTTGTAGGTCTTAAGGCTGTGGTCAATCTGATCTGGGGAGAATCTTGGGATTCCGATCGTAGAAAGTGATGCGAGCGAGTGGGCCTCAAGCCGTAGGTTCCTGCACTCTCGACGTGCAGACGATGTGCCAACTGGGAGGGTGTCTACCATGCGCACCAAAGTGCACCTTGGTTCGGGGCAACCATAGGGTACCATAATCAAGGCACCATCCGTAGAGCATCAGAGGGCACCAACCAAAGGGCGCCAAGCGCGTCAACGGCCGACTGCGACTGCCAGCGCACCACAAGGCACCGGCCACAGCCCACCAACCAGAGGGCACCATAGGGCATCAACCACGTAGGGCACCACGTGCGCCGGCGGCCGACTGCGTCATCCTAGGCACATAGGGCACCAACCAGAGAACATACTTCCATAGCCATAGGGCACCAACCACCAGACGTCATTCAAAGAGGGAACCAAGCATGCCAACTGCCGGCTGCGACACCTACGGCACCATAAGGCATCACCCTGCACCAGATGGTAGCCACCATGAGGCATCGGTCGCCAACGGCCGACTGCGACACCGTGCCAGGTCTTCAAAGACTTGGTAACAAAACCCCGTCCAAAGCGCAAGCGTACTGATGGGGCAATCACATCCAGGGGGTGATAACACATCCGGACACAAGCAACATTTCCTGAGTTCAGGAAAGTGTTGTCTGAAGCACAATGGCTCGTGTGTGTGTGGAAAGCAGTGGATTGGGCGGGGATGACGGTTTTGCTGGTCCATACGCCGCGAAAGTTGTAAGGGCTCCCATGTCCTATATCAAAATAGACGGCATCGGACAACAGAGTGTGAACAGGTTGCCGCGCGATGCAGTGCCAGGTGCCATGCCTGTTGCCGTGCCGTGCTCAGGTTTCAGAAGGCGAAAAAGTTGTGGTGCCGTGCTGTGCCTTGCCGTACACGCGTGCCGTGCCGTGCCGCGGTTGTTTTCGAGAGTGCGCAGAAGTTGTCGTTGCGTACCCGCGTGCAGTGCAGTGCCGTGCCGTGCCCGCGTGCCGTGCCGTACCACGCTTTGGCTCGAGAGTGCGAAGCAGCTGCCGTGGCGTGCCAAGCCCTCGTGCCGTGTTCTGTTTCGAGGGTGCGACGAATTTGTTGCGTCGTGCATTGCCGCGCCCGCCAACCGTGCCGTGCTGGATTTCGAGAGTGCGAAAGTCGGCGGCGAGCGAGGGGGGGAAATGAGAAGGAAAAGGTTTTTTTTTCTTCGGGGAAGGCTTAGAACACTTCTCAGAAGGCTGGTGGATTTCCGAACCCTCTGAGAAGGCCCGTCCCTTCTCACTTCCCCCCTTCGCTCGCCGCCGAGAAAAAGGCTGCCGTGCCTCCTTTGCCGTCCTGGGGCCGCCATGTGGCGTCCTGGGTGCATTTTGAATGTGTCTTGGAGCCATGTGTCGCGGCATCGGTGACCAGCCCAGGCCGTCTTGGAGGCCAGCTTGCACATGCGCCTTGTTGTGCGTGTGGGACCAGTCGGAACGCTCAGGAACTGTCGGGACGGGGAGGGCGGTGCACGCGGCTGTGTGTTTCGAGGAGAGGGCCTTGGCATTCTGCCAGGTAGTCCTCGGCATTCTGCCACGCCTTAGCCTGCCAGGGAGCACGGTAGCGGGATCTATCCATCAACCGTTGGACTCTACGTCAAGGCACCAACCGTCGGACAACCACAGGAAAGTCACCGGACAACCACGCGACCACCAAGCTACCAGAACCACATTTTCACCACCAGCATCTTCGTTGTCTTGTTTCATTTCCACTGTCCTCACCATCTCGTTCCTCCTCGAATTCGTCCTCCTCCTTCTCATGTTTATCCTCTCCTGTCCTCCACCACATTGTGGTCCCCCTCTTTCTCCTCAGCCGTTCTGGCTCAGGCAGTCGCCCGAGCTTGCAACAGCATGCTTATTCGGAACGGCCACGTGTTGTTGCGAGCCAGCTGGCTCTTTTTCCACCGTGCTCTTGGGAACAATTTCTTCGCCTTGCTGCCCTTGCGGGGGCGGTGTCAACCATCCTGTCCCAGATTTTCCGCTAGGAGGCACACGGCACCGAAAGCTGATGAACCCGCCGTCCTCCCAGGACCACGTGAACCACGGTGGGGCAGCCCCAAATGCGGACGCAACCAGAGTTATGCGAGCCGCACTAGATGCTGGTGTGGCAGGATGGCCCCTACGCCGATCATCGCGACAGCACGCCGTGCTGCCCAAGCTGCTGGTCCTGATGGCGGTAGTGGTGGTTATGTTCAGCGTGGGCCTCGCGGTGCTTGGGTTCAGGGACCACGCAAGAGTATGGATGTCTCTGCCCAGCTCACCTCCATCGAGAAGCACATGTTGGAACAGTGCAGGCAGATGTTCAACAAGTCCGTCTCCCCGTCGACGGTGGACCCGAGGCATACTTGTGACGGCGATGATGGTCAGTCCGAAAAGGACGAATGTGATGATGATGGTAATGATGGTGCTGAGGGAAACAGGCTTCGTGAGCGCGTCCATCACTTGGGCGAGTCCCTCCAGTCGGTCAAGAAGCGCGGCGACACCATCTCGGTTGCCGTGCGTAATGAACCCCAGCCAGCGCTTGACACTGCCAGGAAGCTCACTCAGGACAAGAAGCCCGTGTTCTCTCGTTATAATGCAGACGGGCTCAAGTTGGCGCGATGCAGGCTGCATTTCGACAAAAAGCCAGTCGGACATCAACGATGAAACGTACAGTCGTGTGGCTGATGCTCAACAGGTATTTAACGGTTCGCATGACAGGCAGGCAGCGGAGAGGGTCGATATCGAGGCTCTTCAGGTCGAACTGCAACCGACTATGAGGGCAGTGGCACCCGAAGCACCAGTTGCAGAGGAGGTCTTCGACTTGCCCCAGGAGCAGCTCGCGAAGGAAGATGCCACCGAGGTCACGGCCATGGTGGAAACCTTGCTTTCCAGAAGTACGCGGATCTTGCCAAGGCCCAGCCTCAGCAGAATCAGGCTCGGGCGCCCCAACCGCCACCTCCTGCTCCCGGCCCGGCTCCAGGCCAGGCTGTGGATGCCGTCGCTGGCGGGGTCCGCGGGGATGTGCGCGCAGGAGATGATGATGCTCATGTGGAGGGGCTTCGAAAGGACAGTGCTTCGGTCAGTTATGCGCGGCTGCAAGAAAGGAGGCAGGATATCATGCTCAAGAGTTTGCTGAGATCCTTCAGTCCATGTGCGCTCGCTCGGACAACAAAAGCAACGCTTGGGTTGACGAGGATTTCGGTTTACCTGTGCCCGCGGTCTCGTGGGCCGCGCTGGCCATTGCAGGTATTCCACTTCCGCCTTTGAGAGGTGGGCCCAGCTTTCAGGCTGCTGCTGATCCTTGTAAGATCGATGCGGTCCTACGGCTCGTGCTGGGCAACTTTGCGGCGACGCCTCAAGGGGTCAGCGGCCATGACTGCTCGTGCACAAGAGGTTAGTCCATCAGATCCCCTTACTGGTCAGGCAACGGCAGCAGGATGCGGCCTACGCCAGCATTGTCTCATCGCCTCCTCCTTCGTCAACCCTGAAACCAGCAAGTTGTCGAGCAGCGCGGCGGCCTTCGCGCGTCTTGCCGTCGGGCTCTGCTGGCCTCCGGAAGGTGAGGCTCCGATGGTTCCCCCCAGGGTGCTCCGGATATTCCCGGACCACCCAGGATGGCTTGCGCATTTAGATTTCTTTGTGCACTTACGCTCAGCGGAGGGCCTCAGCGAGGCCAGCATCGGGATCATTGGGCGCCCTGGCAAAGCTGCGCATGTTCCCGCAGAGCACTTTAGGATCCCCCGTAATCTTGGCATGAACACGGGGAGTCCGCTTGCGCGCATTTGCCGTGCGCCGACTACTAACGGCACAATTGGCCACCGCATGCGCGGGCCTGGACTGGCCAGGCTGATGCAGGGGAACGCAGAGAACATGTTTTGGGAAGTGGGACCGCGCGGGCCTGTTGCCTTAGAGGGCACTTCAGATGCTCTTCGATTCCGCCAGCTAGCTTGCTGCGCTTATCAGCGACGCCCAGTAGATAGTCCATGTGGCCTTGTTCTCGCAGCTGCGGTCTGGGGCGGCGCCCTCGCCCGCGCTGCCAATGCCGACGGGCGCGCAGCCCGTAAGTCCGCCGCTTCGGCGCTTCAGCCTGGGGCGCGCCCCCAACCAGGCACGGGCCCACTTCGTTGATTGTGCCGAGGAGGGAACTTGCCCGAAACCTCGGGGCTGCAAAGAGTTTGGAGGGCGCCCCGGGGCCACGCCAGCCCCGTGGGCGTCGGTCTTCTGCTGGCCCGAAGACGCGGGCGACAAGTTTTAAGTTTCGACGGGGTGGAAGTGGCCGCCCGAGACTTGCAGCGAGTTTTTGCTGTCCGCCCAGGAGCCCGCGGCCAGAGGCATGGCCGCGCGCGCATCTGAAGGTCGCTCTCCAGCACCTCTTTCCTGGCGCTGGGCCTTCGCCGCGCCTCGACGCCGCGATCCGCTCGATGCGAAGCCCGGCATCTCGGCGGCAAGGGCGCAGTTCCAGCGCGGGAGATCGGGCAAGAGCTGACAAACATTGCTGGGGGGACATGGGGGGCTTCGACGGGGCGGCGGCGGGCGGAGGTCGGTTATCCGCGGGGCCCCGAGACGACTGGCAGCCTCCGGCCCTGGCGGGCTCTGCGCGGACTAGGCGCAGGTTCGATGGGGCCAAGAAGCGTCGGCAGCAGACAGTTGTCGAGAGTTCGCCTGGCTTTGATTCCTGATCCAGCGGCCCTGCCTGGATGTGAAGCGAGACAGCTGTCTGTTCCCTGAGGGCCCCCCGCGGCCCCCGAAGGCCGGGCCCCCCCCGTCGAGGCAGTTTCTCGGTCGCGACCCCAGTTGAGCTCGCAGGTGCTTCGAAGAGCTGCAGCCGCCACGCGTCGCAATTTTTCGTTCTTTTCCCTACCTAGGCTCTGCGTGGAGGGTTCTTACTCTCTTAGCTTAAAAGGGCCGGGCAGTGGGTCCCGCCCCGGGCGGTTCCCCCGGCCCCCGCCCCG